AGATCCACGGCCGATGTCGGCCGGTGGCGGCATAGAGGATACCGGGACTTCCTGCCGTGTCTGCGACCTCTGCTGTGCCGCCATTGCTTCCCCTCTCTCCACACGAAGGGGTTGCAATGGCGGTGATGGTGGGGCGGTGCGGGGCATGGGACGGACGGGGGACGGGGGGGCGCTGCGACGCATCGGCGGCGGCTCTAGTGGTGCGACGGGTGGGGGCCGAGGAATGCGGACGTTCGGCAGTGGTCCAGCGACAGGTGGCTGCTCCATGTTCATGAAGCCCTCCCGAGATGTGCTCTTGCGCAGTATCCTCTCGACCCACAGCAGTGATACGAGGCAGCAGGCCCATGCAGTCGCCATAATCGACGCCACCGTGACGAACAGCACGTATGCCGTCCACCGATGGGCCCCCAGGTAAGCTCTGATGGGGTAGAACCACATACGGCGTCGCATCTGGAGAAAGGCCCGGTCGACAGGGATGGCCGGGGCGAGGCGGATGATGGCGCGGCCGAGCCAGTCGGGGGACGAATAGGGGAAGCGGTCAATCAGGAGAACGGTGAAGGTCCGCACGTCATTCCACAGGCCCAGGGCAACCAGGGATCGCTGCACAAAGTAGTCGAAGAGCTGCCGGAAGAGAGAGGGCTTCGCTGGCAGGAGGGATCGTGTGGAGCGTGCCACCCGCCGGCCGTCCCGACTGATGATCTCCATCGATATGGTCAGGGGCAGATCAAAGGAGTTCAGCAGCCGCCTGGGGAGGAGGAACTGCACCGACAGGTCCACCTCCACGTAAGGCCCCGAGTTGATCTCCACCCTCGGCAAGTAATACACCGGCCGCTCCACACCCAGGACTACCTCGGTGTGTGCGGGCGGCTCAAAGTCCCAGTTCCGGTGGCTGAAGGGCACATGCGCCTCCGTGACCGACATGGTGGATCCCTCCGGCCGGTAGAGGTCGAGCTGTGTGTCGTCTGTGCCGTATGTGAAGTGGATGGGGAAGAGCTGGGATGCCGATGGGAAGAGGCGGTCGACGACGCTCCAGTAGGCGATGGATGACGCCATCAGGGCCAGGGGCAGGACGATCAGGCAGGCCCCGCACAGCCGCGAGCATAGCAGGTAGCCCTCCACCGCAGCCACGCCCGCCCCTCCGATGGCCCGGCTAATCATCTCTCAAACCACCGTGGCAATGACCTCATCCATTCCCTGCATGACAGCGAACAAACAAGCCACAAAGTCTGCGCTTTCTGAGAATTTTGTGTACATTTCATCAGTGCTCTCTCCTTACACTTTCAGCAGATGCTATTCAACCGCTTCTCGTTCTGCTTTCTTCGTTCTGAGAAGAAAGTTCTTCGTTCCAAGCTCGCAGCTGCAAGCCGGGAAAGGGATCAGGGAGGGAAGGGATGACAAATCGACAGCGTGACGTGCGCAGGACGATAAGCGCACTCACAAATCGCCCATTGATACCTGATTGATTCATTGTTTGTTGCAGATCTCCTACGCAGATTGAGAAGCACCGCCTGTCGCTGACGTCTGACTGCCATGAGGTCAGCGGAGCAGCACAATGCACATCCATGGTGCACTGCTTGCTATCGCTGTTTGTGTCTGTCGTCTGGTCAGGAAAGCCGTGCTCGCGCCGTTCTGTCTTCGCCCAAGACGATGAAACAAGAGACTCATGAAGCGTGTGTTGGGCGTTAGTTGTCTTGTCCTGCTGCTCCAACTTGGACCTCACCCCGCGATTTGTTCGCCTTCCCTTCCCTCGTTCGTCCACCCGGCGCGCGTGGACGCTCTGCGCAGCCGGACGGGACGACCCTTTGCCGCTGATGGCTGTGAGCACAAGACGCGGCTTGAGGCGACTCGGGCGCATCGGCTGGTCCGCTTCTTGCGGGGAATCGAGCTGCCGGCATTTGGCGAAACCCGCCGGCTGCGAGAGATGGCGTATGCCGCGAATAAGCGGCGGGCGCGCAAATGCATCAACAATACGATAGATAATGGGGAGCTCAACTCCAGCGGCACCTTCATGGCGATACTGAATTGCGCATTGGAAGACGTTGGTACGTCAGAGAAGAGGTCTCCTGACCTGTGTGTGACGGTATGTGTGTGTGTGCAGGCCTCCCGAGGGCCAATAGCAGGCGCGGGAGAATTAAGGCGCTTGCAGAGATCTATGCCTCTCGGCCCTTCCGTCGCTACGAGGTCTCGGCCAGGGCACTTGAGCGGATCTGGCAGCAGTGCTGCAAAGATGGAAGGTCCGAAGGTGCTGACCGACGACCGCATGCTCACCGTATGTGTGTGTGTATGTGTTCTTGGCAGGGGCTTCGAACAGTTCTACCTCGACATGTGGAGTGAGATTGACAACGGAAACTGTACGCAAAGCGCCGAACAACGAGCGAACGAACGCACTCGGACACAAGTACATCCATCCTCTGCGCGTGTGTGTGTGTGTTCAGATGCGCATGTCCAGCGGTGCTACGGTGACCCCCTGTGGATCGACCTCGAGGACGAGTCCAACCTGGACGCCATGCATGAGATGGCCAAAGAGCTGGGCGTGCAGGCCATCTCGGACAACCGCTTGGGCGTCTGGGAGTTTGCAGAGGAAGAGGAAGAGCCAGACCCATACGAGCTCTACTGCGACGTTAAAGGAGACAAAGAGACCAGACAGACAACAACACCCAAACACGCCGGCGGGGCGGGGGAATCTTAAATCATGCAGTGATTGGCAGGTAGTGAGTGAGCCAGCAAATCTGCCAGGATCCGGAGTGTCTTATGGCGTGGTGCGTGTGAGAGAGAATGTGTGTGTATGTCATGATTGGGGCTTGGCGGGCCGATTGGTGAGGGGCGGATTGAAGCACAGGTCTCCTTCCTGTGTGTGTGTGTAGATAGATTGGTGACTTCTGGCACGTGAGACACACTGTGTGGGTGTCGTTGTGATGGGCCCTGCGCCAGACCGATGCATTATCTATCGTTTGGTTGATTGCAGTCATGAGAGCGCGTTGGATCGAGACACAACTGTGGGGTCCATCGACGAGCTCGGGGCAAAACTGGCTCTTTAGACGTTCTGAGGGTTCTGAGGCGATTCAGCTGCCTTTCGCCATGAGTCGAGGACTCTGGTGCATTTCCTTTGTGCCGGTTGGTTGACCCGTCTCTCTAGATGTGAAAGCGATGTCTGTGAGACACTATGTCTGGACCACTTCATAGACAAGCAATCCATTGCCAGCCACTCACTGTACATAGCCGTCGGTGCGGTGCAAGTCAGTCGCATCCCCGTACGTATCCATCCACCGATCGACCCATGACATCCATCCATCAGTCATCAGTTAGTTTCCCCTGCCCAGCGCCTTGGCCAAGAAGCCCTTGTTTTTCCTGCCTATCACAACCTCGCCCTCCAGCCCCCTCACGAGCTCCCTCTCCGTGATGATTATCCGACCATCCCCATCTCGCTTGGGGCCCTCGTCAGCCCCCGCTGATGATGGTGGTGCTGATGATGCCTCATCCTCAGTCGGCCCTTCTACCTCGAGTATCATGGTCTCCTCTGGCCCCCCACCCTCGACGGCCCCTCTGTCTCTGTCGGTGGTCTTGGGGTCCACCACGTCCCTCTTGTACACCTTCTTGGCCATTGCTCGCATCCCCGCAACTGAATGAAATGAACACACAATCAATGCCATTCATTCAATTCATGGCCAGCTGTACTGTGTTGGCTGATTGATGGATGTCCCCTGGTTGTCGATTCGCACCTGCGGCCATGCCCACAGCGTGCCTCGCTGGTGCAGGTAGGACCTTAACGTAGGGCAAGGCGCCCACCAAGTGGGAGGCAAACAAGCCAACGAGGGCAGCATCGATCTGACACGACCCCTGCACGTCTGTGTGGCACCTGCACACAACACACACACACACACAGAGAGACAGTCAGATAATGGCAGCATCCTCACTTGCCTCTTTCCCCTCCGCTCAATCGTTCGCTGACCATACCATGTACAGAAGTGCTCGCACTTGTTCATGACCACGTTGTACCTCCCGCCGCCGACTTGAGAGCGGGCCCGCGTGACCACTTCCTCTCCGGTGAATTTCTGGGGCGTGTAGCGGATGACGTACAGCCCCTGCGTGTCGTAGGAGGTGAGGAACTTGTCCAGCGTCCACACACAGATGCGAGCGACCCGCTTCGACTGCCGGCCGTCACCACTGGCAGCAGAACGGTGAGCGAAAATTGTGGATGGATGGTCATCCTTCCTCGTTCGTCTGTGCTCACGCACGCGAAGTGGATGACTTCTCTCTCGTTGATGTCTACGAGGCCGTGGTGGTAGGCATTGAGCACTCCCAGCGGGCCCCCGTTGATCTTGACAGCCAAGTGGGAGCCGTGAGGCACGATATTGGCGTTCCTGTCAGAGCATGAACACACACGCAACAAACACACACACAACACATCCAAATAAGCCCTGTTCTCTCGGTGCTCTGTGTGTTCGTTCCTTTGTGTCTGCCCTACACGGCCTGTTTGAACTGTTCAATGGTGAAGAATCACTGTCCTTGGGGGCTGCACAACGCACACAAACCACCGAAGAGGTAGGTGATGTGAGGAGGGATTTTTCCGTCTCGTTCGTGTGCTTGGCTTACAGAAGAAGTCCATCCGAAACTTCAGCGGGTCCATCTTCTCGGACAAGGCCACGGGCAAACGCCTTCTTGCGCGCTTAGAAATGGCGAGGATCGCCCGTTGGCGGCCGTTGGATTGGCCGAGGCAAGCCAACGGCGCCAGAGGGTGCAATCAGGAACGTTTTGCCTGTTGTCAGTTTTGCCGCATCCTTGCGACAACAATGGGAGGCGAGAAGAGCATGGCGGCCGACCTGGCGGAGTGCAACCTTGAGAGCCGCGTGGTGCACCAGAGAATGGCACCAAGCCTCCAACGACGTGTCTTGAGAGAGATGCTTGTGTGCGTGTGTGTGCTGGTTGCAGCCTTTGCGCGCTGGCAAGACGCTCGGGATGCCTCGGTTCGGCCTGGGCACGTGGCGGGCACAGCCCAACGAAGTCGCACAGGCAGTGGAGGTATCAACAAGCGGGACAGGGGAGGGATAGAGAGAGCTAGGAGAGGTGCGTCGATTTGCCGCTCGCTGTGTTGTGTTGTGTTGTGTTGGTCTGCAGTGTGCCCTGAGCAATGGGTACATCCACCTGGACTGCGCGGCCATCTATCGCAACGAGCACGAGGTGGGCGACGGCATCGCAAAGGCAATCGCTGCCGGCAAGATCACACGCGACAAGCTCTGGGTCACCTCCAAGCTGTGGTGTAAGCACGCAGACAGACAGACGGACCAACAAATCACCCGCTCTCTCTCTCCTGTGTGTCCACCAGGCACCAAGTTTCGCCCCGAGGATGTCAAGTCCGGGCTGCAAAAAACGTTGGATGACCTGGGTCTCGAGTACATCGACCAGTACCTGCCCCACTGGCCCTGCCCCATGGTGCCCAGCGACATCGCCACGGAGCCCTGGCCCAAGGACGAGAACGGCGTCATCCGCGCGGCCGATGTGGGGCTGACCGACACATGGCGTGCGATGGAGAAGCTGGTCGACGAGGGACTCGTCAAGACACTCGGCATGAGCAACTTCTCCATCGAGGTCAGACGAGGGCAGAGAGACCGACCGGCAGAGAAGGAAGGGGCCTGCCTGGGTGGCGATGGCTGTGTTTGTGTGATTTGTGTGTGTCATCTCAGGAGGCCAAGTTGATCTTGGACAACTGCGACATCCCGCCTGTGGTGGATCAGGTGGAGTGCCACCCCTTCAGGCCACAGCACCAACTCAAGGACTTCCTCAAGGTCACAACCACACCACACCACCCCAGACAGACTGCTTCACACACACACAGGCGGCACCACCTGTCAGTCAGTCTACATTTGTGTCGGTCGGTCGGTATGTCAGTCTGAGGGCATTCACATGGTGGCGTACAGCCCCCTTGGCAACGTGCGCGACAACGACATCTCGGGCCTCACCGACCCCCTCGTCGTCGACCTCGGCAACAAATACAACAAGTCGCCCGCACAGGTACCTACTCGAGTGAGCTGATCCCAGAGGGAGGCTCGGCTCCCCTGTGTGTGTCCACCCTCTGCTCGTCTCTTGTCTCTGTGTGTGCAGATTTGCCTCCGTTGGCACCTGCAGCGGGGCGTCATCGTCATCCCCAAGAGCGTCACGCCGTCACGCATCATCGACAACACCAAAGTGAGTATAATCACATCGCGCACACGCCATGCCATGGCGCCCCGGCCCCCTCACACACACGTGTGTGCGTGTCTGTCTCTTGGTTGGTGACCGTGGCATGCTGTGCATGTGTCTGTCAGGTGTTTGGCTTTCAGTTGTCGGACGATGACATGGCGCGCCTGAGCAAGCTGAGCGAGGAGGAGGGCAAGCAGCGGCGGTGGTTTAACCCAGAGTACAGGGAGGGAGGCGTCAAGGTCTTCCCAGACACAGCTGGCACCAACACACAGGGCTATACCAGGTGACTGATTATATTATTGCGTCGCGTCAAGCGATTCATATGGAGCGACCGACCAAGCGAATGTGTTTGTGGTGCATATGGGTGTCTGTCGTGTGTGCGTGCATGTCTCTGCCTGCCTGCCCGAGGAGATCTGTTTGCCCCTCTCTGCGCTGGCTGGCTGGCTGATGTGACTGACATACGTAGCAGTGAGTGTGCATCGATCGTGACATGCATGCTACACAAGTTTTAGGTCTCACGGGGAGGGAGTGTGATGGTATCCTATCCACGACAACTGAGTGGGTGTGAGAGTGGGCGGGCTGACAGTTCTACGTTTCGCCTTCACAGTGACTCACACGTGAGGTCGGCCGATTGACGCTTGATCGCACTTGCACAGCACAGCATAGCACATCACGTCAATCCTTCCTTGATTGGGCAGAGCAAAAAAAAGGGTCAGCCACTCTAGATAGACAGTCCCATCCAGCCACTACTGGCTGGCTGGCCGTCTGCCCTGCGTCTGTCTGTCATGGCAGACCAACCAACCAACAGGCAAGCAACCCATCTGCACACACCAGACAAACTACTCACACCTCTCCTGGTGAGCTAGCTGACCGACTAAAGCAAGCGACCATACATACCATCTGAGCTACCCCCTCCCCCTACTCCCCCACACCACACCCCACGACGGACGGACACACAGTTACTTACAAAAGGCCAGCATACCAGCATATGTACAAGCACAGCACAAAGGGACGCACAACAGAGGCGATGATTGCAATGGAATACACACACACTGATGCACAGTGTTCTGGGGACGGACGCTGCGGGCCGGGCCAGCCTGCCGAGCCGCCCTGACCGCCCAGCCCAGCTGACTGTCTACTCTCCCATGTGTGGCCAGAACTCGTGGACAAGAGTCACATACTCGGGCGAATCCTCCATTATCGGGTAGATCAGCCACTCGAGTGGCTTCCGGGGCGTCTGGGTGCCCCGATCCTTTTTCGGCTTGTGGCGGCCAACGAGTGGCTGAACGAACCCCCCACACACGCGCACATCCATCCATTTTCCAGACCTGCGAACGACCAAAACCTCCATGTGCCTCCCTCCTCACCTGTATTCGCACAGGCGGTGGGCCGTCCGCCTCTCCGATGATGTCATCTTGGATGAGCAATCCCGGACCTTCGGGCACCATCATCAACCTTCGGCAGTGGCGCACCGGCTTCCCGCCGGCCTCGTACTTGACGGAGCCGTCCTTCTCAAGATTGACGTAGATATACTCGACCGGACCAGCGTCGAGGCGGACCATTGCCGCCCACTCGCCGTCCCTCCTCTCCTCCATCCGAAGCGCTTGGCCAACCTCTCCCCCGCCAAGCACGCCACGGGTGCCCAGTATGGCGACTGAGTCACACACACACACGAAGAATACTTCTCTGCAGTGTGGCAGGTCCGCTTGGTGGCTTACGTGTTTCGCCTTTCTCGGTGCAGTCGGAGGCTTGCACGCGGAAGATGACGTTGATCTTGCTGCTGTCGTCGCAGCAGCCGTCACAGCTGCCGTTCTGGCCCATTGGAGCTGCAGCAGAGGTCTTGAGATCAGGACCAGGCAGGGTCAATGATGACCTGCAACGGGTGGTGAGCTTTCTTGAACGGGGCATTCTGAAGATCTGCACACACAGCTTCCTCATCGAAGACACGAGGACGTGGATATCTCTCCTCATTCGCTCTCCACCGAAGCTTGAAGGACAGCAAAGCTAAGCTTGCAGACGCTCTCCTCATTTTGCGTTCTCCCGGAGATCTCGAGACTGCTGGTGGTAAGGGGAGGTCCCTATGCGCTCACCAGGTACTGGTGAAGAGGTCGGCTTGCCTATTCTTCCCCGCGCAGTCAACAGTCACTCAGCGTCCTCTTCAGCACAATCTCCAGGTGTCCATTCGCCGACCATCGGAGGACACACGGGCAGCACTCAGTCCCGCAGGCCCGCGACCCCGCTGATCCAGTGCATGGTCTGCGAGTGCGACTTCGACATGTCAGAGCTCGACAGACACTCGGAGACGTGCAACATCACCGTCACCCCCTACGTCCTCCACCAGGGGGAGCTCATGAAGTGGACCAACTATGTCAAGGCGTGGCGGCCCCGGCACTTCACTGTGGAGCTGGGGGTGCTCAAGTACTCACACGAGAAGGGCGGGCCGCTGCGGGACAGCTTCGCCCTCAGCGAGTGCGGCTTGTCGCTCTGCCACGGTGACGCCCATCGCTTCGAGATCGCCACTCCCCGCGGCAGAGTGACGCTCAAGGCTGCGAGCAAGGAGGACAAGGAGCGGTGGCTGGACGCCCTCACCAAGGCCAAGGGCGGCCTGCACAATGCCTCCCTCAAGCCGCCCGCAAGGACCACCGACGGCTCGCTGCCCAACTACTCGCCCACGCCGTCGATCGAGGCCACCGATGACGACAACAGCACGGTGCCGCAGCTGACTTTTGTGGAGCAGCTGGGCGAGACCCGCACCCGCCTGCGCGACAAGATGCACGACTACGCCAAGCACCACGAGATGGCCATACGGATCGTGGGCGAGCTCGAGGACGAGGCGGCGCAGCAGCAGGTCACCGAGTGCCTCGATCAGATGAAGAGCATCCTGTGGACCATCGAGGCCCTGAGCGACCAGCAGTTCTCGCAGGCCGAGGCGTGGGCCAAGAAGGAGACGCGGCGGCACATGGCCCTGGAGAACACCTTCCTGCACATCGGCAAGGAGAACCACCAGCTGGCGCGGGCGGCATCCCGACTTGGCTCCAAGGAGGGAGGAGTGCTTAATGCTGATGAGGAGGAAGAGGAGGGCGAATGGGACGACTATGAGGACTTCTTCGACGCTGCCGAAAAGCTTATCGACGAGTCGACAGCAGCAGCTGCCGGCGCATCGCCGCTCGTCTATCGGCCCGACTATGGCACCGTCAGCTCATCTGCAGCGGTGGTCAGCAACGGCTCCCAGCCGGCGGGCGGCATCCAGCGGCGCACACGGCTGCCCGTGCCACGCGCGGAGATCAAGGTGAGCCTGTGGAACATCCTGAAGGAGTTCATCGGCAAGGACCTCAGCCGCATCTCCATGCCCATCTTCTTCAACGAGCCGACCAGCTTTTTGCAGCGGCTCGCGGAGGACCTGCAGTACACGGCACTGGTGCGCACGGCCGCCAGCCTCACAGACCCGCTGGAGCGGCTCGTGTACATGGCGGTCTTCTCGGTGACGCCATTCGCCTCGACGGTGGGGCGGTTCGTCAAGCCCTTCAACCCGCTGCTCGGAGAGACCTACGAGATCACACACAGGGGGTTCCGATTCATTGCTGAGCAGGTCAGCGAGGGAGGGAGGGAGGGAGGGAGGCGGAGAGGTCAGGATGTGGTCGCATGGATGTGTGTGTTCTGTGATGGTGTCTGCATTCAGGTTGGTCACCACCCGCCGGTGTCTGCATATCATGCCGAGAGTGACGATTTTGTAATCTGGGGCCACGTGCATCTCAAGAACCGCTTCATCGGCAAGTCGGTGGAGGCCATCCCGTCGGGCAGCATCCACTGCGTGCTGCCACGGGTGGCCGAGGCCGACCACTTCACGTGGGCGCGGCCGCACATGGTGGTGCACAACATCCTGTTCGGCCGTCTGTGGGTGGAGTGGTACGGCACGGTGCTCGTGACCAACCACAGCACGGGCGACGTGGCCATCATCGAGCTGCTGCGCAAGGGCTGGTTCGACAAGAAGATGCACCAGCTGCGGGGCGTCGTCCAGGACAAGCACGGCCGCACACACTGGCTGCTCGGGGGCAGCTGGAGCGCTGAGGTCTGGGCCGAGAGGTGCGACCCCGGACCTATCCCAAGCGACGGCAACTCGCGCCCCACCCCCACCCCGCCACACCCCCAGCACACATCTCCCGAGCAGGAGCCGCTGCTGCAGCACCATGTGCGTGGGTCGACTTCATCCTCGCTCATGTCTGAGGCCAGCGGCCAGGTGGACGGCTCTGCCACGCAGGACCCCAGCTCAGCCGCCGCCAAGCGGGCGAGGGGCCGCAAGGGGTCGTCGTCGAGCCAGCACTCATATCACCACCATCCGCCGCCCGTGGGGTCGATGCCCATCCCTGAGGTCGACTGGGAGTCCATCCAGTCAGACCCCTCCACTCGTCGCGTGCTGTGGTCGCCCACACCGCTGCCCGCCCACGCCGAGCAGTACTTCAACTACAGCCAGATGGCGATGGAGCTCAACGAGATCACGCCCGAATACGACCGACAGGCCGGTGCCCACATGCCGCGGACCGACTCGCGATTCCGCCCCGACCAGCGTGCTTACGAGGAGGGCCGGCTGGACGAGGCCTCGAGTGAGAAGACGAGACTGGAGGACCGTCAGCGTGAGGCGGCCAAGAAGCGGCCGCGTGGGGAGCAGGACTACTCGCCGCTGTGGTTCCAGCGGTCAAGGGACAAGTACACGGGGGAGGCCACGTGGGCCTTCAGGGGCAGCTACTGGGAGAAGAAGCGACACAACGATTTCAAACACTGCCCACACATCTTCGGCACCACTCACTGACTCACAGACTTACCGACCTGACGTGGGCAGCGGGGGAGGGAGGGAGGGGAGGGAACTTTTTCCATGCTCTGAGGGGTCATGGAGGGCCGGTGTGTGTGCCACCGGCTTGTTTGTGCCGGTCGGCCATTTTTTCCCTGCAGAGTGTTGGCATATTTGTCGGTAGTTCAGCCAGGGGTGCGACTGCCGGCTGGCTCGTGTAAGGAAGGATGATGGACTGCTCAATGCTGACAGACACTGTGCATGTCTGATCGATAATGCTGTGTGTTCCTCACAGGGTTTGAACTTTCAAGTGTGCCCGCGCAAACGCAATCAATCTGTCACGGGCAGACTCTCTCTCTCTCTCTCATGTAGGACATCTGTCCACTGTTTGCCTGTGTGTTGCAATGACACACACGCACACACAAACTATACACAAAAAGGGGATGAACGAACAGACCGCTACATACATACCTGAATCAGTGGGCCTGGTTGGTCAGACCATGCACTTGAGTATGGTTCCGGGGAGCAAGACCCTGGGGTATTCTGTGCACTTGCACGTCCACGGAGCCATGTGGCCGCCGATATTGTAGGAGCCACATTGGTCGCCCGGCTTCTTATTCTTGCAGGAGCCGTCGCACTCGTACCGTGTGGGCGTCTCGGCCAGCGTCTCGGACAAGTCTCCCAAGTGATCTCGGGTTGTGGTGAGAGATCAGGGGGGTGGCAAGGGACTTGTCGTCGTCTGTCTTGACTGCAAATGTACCTGACAGCGCACATTGCAAACCGCGGCACTCGGCTCATTCTCTGGTGTTGTTCTTCGGTCACCATTCCTGGGAGGCTGAAGAGCCATCAGGCCAGGGATCAGAAGAGCTGCCACGAAAACGGTTAAAAAACCAGCCATATTCTGGGATTGTCAGTCACTGCGACGGGCGGCGGGAGTCTGCCACCCTGAGTCGGAGACGGGGGGCGTGGGGGTTCGTATGGCGAGCTTTGAAGCGTCTCCACTCCTTGTCGACCATTCTTTCAAGTCAAACAACGATGTCAACGTCGCGCACGGCCCCCTCGCCCATGTCGACCACTAACCTCTCAGACCCCTTCAGCAGGAGCACCAAGTCAACGGTGCCATCACCACGGCAAAGGAGGCTGCTGCCCCATCAAGAACACGTGGAGAAGAGGTACATCGACGTCCTGCAGGAGCTGCCCTCTGTCGAGAAGAGCACCCTCAGCAAGCACCGCATCAAGCTGGGCGTGCGGGACGAGTTTGGAGGGATATGGCGGCCGATTGAGGCAGCGCGGCTGCCTGGCGTGGGGGAGTACTCGTTGGTGACTGATCCGCGGCTCAGATGGAAGGGCAGCCCTGGACTGACACTGCCAGGTCAATCAAGAACCATCCACCACACCCACAGAGAGGGTCAAAGCAACCAGTCCGCCTGTCTGCACTGCAGGATTCGGAATGGAGAGGCGAATGCTCGAGACACTGCCGCCTCCGCACCCCACAAAGGTCATCAACGAGAGGCTGCGGCCAGAGTTCTACGAGACACAGCTCGAGAAGGTCCGCGACGTGGCGGTTCGCCTTCGGTATCCGACAACAGTCGGCCCCAAATTCGGCACTGCGCCGACTAACAGCAGCAGAAAAGTCGACATTGACGAGCTGTACAGAAGATATGATGTCAAGGAGAGAGATGGGCTGGCCGCAGCCAAATCCGACGAGCCGACCCAGGCGCCTGCCAATGCAGAGGAGCCGACAGTGAGCATCGAGGCACCGACGAAGCAGAAGGAGGAGACACTAACACAGAGCGGGCCGGGGGAGAGGGAGGTGGCGACGGCTGCCGGCAGTGAGAGGCCTGCGTCGTCACTTGTGGACTCCCCACCACCACCCGCGGCACCCGACAGCCACAGGGATGAAACCACAGCGGCCACGAAGGGCTCTGATGACCAGGCTCACCCGGCAAGAGCGGAAAAGCAGATGGCGTCTGCCAGCGGTGCACAGGGGGCAGGGGGAGAGGGGGAGAAGTGTGAGGGAGGGCGGGACGTGGGAAGAGCAGACAGTGCGAAGTGATTGGTTTTTCCGCGTCCGTGTCCGTTTCCGGGGCAGTGTGCATGCCAAAGCGCGTGTGTGTCTTGTCTCTCATCTGTCTCATTCTTTGTGGGAGGTCCGTCTGTGTGCGTCTGCATGGCATGTGTGTAGTTTGGTTGTGTCAGCTCTTGCGGTGTGAATCAGGCGATCGATGTGTATTTGTCTCAGTGCATCCATCATAAACAGACAGACGCTTTCTCGGCTGCTATGCTATCGATCGCCACTGAGAGGAGATATCTATCGACACTGATGGAACGAACGTCCACACGAATAGAGTCAGCCGAGCCGTCACGCTGCAGCCCCTACGGCAGCGGCGCTGCCCGTCGGCCGGTCTGGATGGCTGTCTGGCGAGCTGTCGGTGTTCCACATGAACACCTGCCGGGCCGCCCTGCATCAGTGAGACACAACCGAACAAACGCATAGACAAGAGAGACAGGCACCGAGAGGGACAGAGATGAGTCGGCTGTGGTGTGTGTGCATTGCGGTTACTTGTAGTCGACAAACTTCTCGACGAACTCTATCGGGGACGAGCAGCCAGACTGACCAGGTCGGTCAGGACACCAAGTCATGCTCATTGCTTCGATCTCTGTCTGCGGTGTGTGTGTAGCTATCGATTGCAGCTGACCTTTTGGAGCACCTTGGTCACCACCTTCTTGCTCGCGAGCTTCTGGAAGTCATCCGAGTCGAGGAAGGCCTGCATTGCACAAGGGAGGCAAGGAGACAGGGATGGACGGGGCGTTGCGGTGGGGACGCGCCACCTCGATGGATCGGTGCTTTTGGATGATCTCGTAAGCCGCCACGGGACCTGCGGCGACGCCATGGTGAGACACCCATTGCAGGCAGGCACATTGCCTGTCGTCTGCCATCCGCACCTATGCCTGGGAGTTTCTCTGTGTAGTCGCATCCGCACAGGATGCAAAAGTCTATGAACTCCTCCATGCTAAAACCTGGCGCACGCACACACCATTGTATACGGGCTATGTATGGGACATGGGCCTTTCCTCCCTCCCTCCCTCCCTCCCTCCCTCGCCCACACATGGCATCCAGCAGCTCCTCGCGCTTGATGTACATCAACCCCAAGGGCGACTGCACGTTACGAAGCACCGCAGGAGCACTGCAAGGAGCACACCGGATCAACGAAGGCATCATTCGTCAACTGGCGCGTACGTGTGTGGGTGTGTGGCTGACCCGAATACGAGTGCATCGACGTCATCCGACACGACCACATCCGAGTCGCTGCGGCACTGCCGCACACACTCCTGCAGGAAGGGCAGTCACTCCTGTATTGCGCATCTCGGGTGCGATGGACGTATCTGAGCAGACCGACCTTCTCAGCGTCGAGGTCCGTCCATCTGACATCGCACCCCTCCTGGCCGAGCGTATCTACCACCTTCTGCACATCATCTGCACACACAACCACCCTCCATCAATACACCCAATCCATTGCGCCCCTCCCTCCCTCCTACCCTTCTTGAGATGTATTCTCTTGTCGTCCACCACCGCATCCTTGACAGTATCCTCCGTGGTCTTGTCATAGGACCCCTCTCCCATGATGGCCATCGCCTGCCGCTGGGCGTCATCCGCACGCAGCATCGCGCTCAGCCGGTCCTTCTCCCGCTTCCGCCACGCATGGTCCCGCTTGCACTGCACGTCCAGGTTGCCGCCGCCTTCTCCCTCGTGGCGGCTCTCCTTCTCGAAAAAATACGATGGGGAAATCAGATGCTCTCTGAATTTGGACAGCTGCGTAGCGAACTTCTGCGAGCATTTGTCCAGATCCCCGTGGCTGGCGTAGGCAAATCGGTAGAGGAGGCCAGTGCCATCGACTAGGAGCCGCTGGTGTGCGAAGGGGCGGAGGGTCGCCACGCCCGATATCACGGCGGGGAAGCGCCGGCGCACAAACGGCAGCAGCCCGGGAATGCCCATCTATCAGATCTGCGGCGAAATGGACGGCGAGGATGCTTCTTCTCGAGGAGTTCGGGCGTACTCAAAACAATAAAAGCGATCGCCGAGGCACAATCAAAAATCTGGTGATCTTGTCGCGTGGTTCGGCAGCGAGTGACAGTCGTTTCAGGATCTTCCATCGTTTTGGTCCTTCCTTGACCGCCAAGCTGGAGTTGCCCTTTGGTTGGAGCATGGCGTGTGTGGACCGCACGGCCGAGTTCTTCGAGATAACGGAGCAGCTGAGCTCCCACATCCCTCATGTGGCCAAGCCACGGCAGCCGGGGCACGTGGAGAGCCATTTCAACGTCGTGGCTGATGAAGTCGGCAGGGAGATCCACACGGGATCTCTCAAGCTACAGGAACTCGCCAAATGTGAGTGTGCAGCAGAGAGGCAAAAGACGGCAGGCAGCTCACACAGGGCGAATTCGGTTCTGTTCTGTGTGTGTGTGTGTGTGTGTGTGTGGTGTCAGTGGCGAAGCAGCGAGGCATCTTCAACGACAAGACAGCCCAGATACAAGAGCTCACATACGACATCAAACAGGTCGGTGCGTCAGACGACTCAGCCAGCCAGCTGGCCACTGCTGGACTCGCACATCTACCAACCATTATCTCTGCGCGTGTGGACTGTCATGGCTCTCCCAGACCATCACGGGCCTGAACACCAAGATCGAGACGTTGGACAGGGCAGCGCGGGAGGGCTTCAGCCACAACCGCCACGAGCGGCAGCACGCCACCAGCATCGTCGAGGCGCTCAAGACCAGGCTGCTTGAGCTCACCAAGGACTTCAAGGACATCCTGCAGCTCAGAACCGAGGCACGTCAAAGGAGTGGGAGTGGGTGCATTGGGCATCCCATGGATGGGTGTTGATGTGCGTGTCGGGTTCCGTGCTGTGCTGTGCTGGGCTGTGCTGGCTGCAGATAATGAAGAAGCAGGACAACAGGCGGAAGATGTATGGCGACACCATGGCTAGTGAGCACCCTGACACACACGTGTCACTGTCTTCAACGCACCGTTGCCTGCCTGCCTGCCTGCAGGTTCGTCAGCGTCGAGTGCCTACCCCTTCCAGCACACGTCGCCTGAAGCCGCCGCCAACATCGACATGGAAGGGTACGCAACAGCCACTCCCACAGACGGCGGCTGTAAGGGGGGGGAGCCATGACAAACACTTACTCCTTCCTTCCCTCGATGGCGTGTGTGCCTTGGTTGGTTTCTCTCAAACCAGCGGCCAGCAGACCCAGCTCTTGGACCGGGGCACCACGTACCACACATCAAGGGCAGAGGTAATCAATCGGCCGGAGCACCGCATAACCTTTCCCTTTTACATGACTGTTTGACATTCATTTCATCGTGCGTGTTGATGTTAATGTGTGTGTCGTCTCTGTCGGTCAGGCAGTGGAGAACGTGCAGAAGGTGATAGGTGAGTTGGCCCAGATATTCCAACGCGTCGCCGGGCTCGTGCAGGAGCAGGACGAGATGATAAGAAGGTGAGAGACAAGGACGGGCGGGGCAGTCCTGACAGAGCTGGTGGTGTGTGTGTGTGTGTGTGTGCGTTGGATTGGTGGTGGTGGACGGCTGGTCGGTTGATTGGGTTGGATGCAGGATTGACGATGACGTGGACACGACCTTGGCGAATGTGCGTGCGGGTCAGACGGCGCTACTCGACTACTTCCACAGGATATCCTCTAACCGGGGGCTCATCCTCAAGGTACACACGTCGGAGCGCACCTACGTGTCACTTGCACACACTCTCTACAGCTAGCTTCTCGTGTGGGTGCGTCGTGCAGATCTTCTTGATCCTGGTCTTCTTTGTGGTGTTCTTTGTGATTTTCTTGGCCTGACGAGTCGAGTCAAGTCGATGCCAGCCAGACGAAATGAATGGCACACCGCTGCTTGCACCTTTATCCCCAGCTGTACATATCTCTCTCTTCTATCGGCAGCGCAGGAAGACGCACACGTGCAATGATGTAGAGGACCTTCTTGTCAGTCAATGGAATTAACTAACGCCTTCTGGCTGGCTGGGCTGTTTCCCGAATGGTGCCGTGCATGGGGTGACTTTAAATACGTTTGTTTGTCCGTCTCTAGCTGCAGCCGTGCATGACACCAATGCCTTAGTAGCTCACACACACATCCAGACAGACAGCCAGACAGACAGGCAGGCAGGCAGGCCGGCGGCGCAGTCTCCTCACTCACGATCACGGCGTGGCATGCATGACACTGACGGCACTCCCTGGTTGCAGACCAAGCAATCAATCACAGCTGCACAACACACACACACACACACACTCACACACGGATGGATGAAGTCGGCCAGTCAGTCGGACATATAAAAGGCAATCAATCAATCAATCACTCAGTGAGTCAGTCAGTCAGTCAAAACGTGGCTCTGTGTGTGGGGGTGGGGGTGCCTCTACAGGTATGAGTGTGTGGATGGATGGATGGCATGGTCGTTGAAATCAGCCAGACGGTCGGTGTGAATGAAACGGGGTTGGTTGAGCATGCAAGGCCAGCTCTGAGGCAGACAGACAGGCCGGTAGGTAGGCAGGGCAGGTTAGCAGGTTGGCAGGTTGGCAGGCAGCGTTAGATTGGAACAACAGGGCAGGGCAGGCAGACGGGCCAGAGAGGAGAGGGCAGGGAGGCATCAGGCAAGGCAAGTAAGGCAACGAAGTCGGTCGCCACGTACATCCATCAGATCGATCACATTACATATATCAATCCATTCCATTCCATTCCATTCAACATCGTCATGACAAATGACCCCAAGGACAGGCAGGCAGGCAGGCAGGCACTTGGGCGAATCGAATGGGGGTGTGGTGTGGGTGGAGATAAGATGGCGTGCATCATGGCATGCATGGCATGGTGTGAGAGAGGAAGAGAGCGAGTGCATCTGGACTGGACGAACAATCGAGTCGCGCCCTGTCACAGACTCTTTCCCTGGACGTTACCAACCTCGGCGGCATCACAGGAGACCTCCTGTTGGGAGAGGACCCTCTCTGATGCCCTTGAGGATGGTGACGTGCAAGGCGAGAGACACAACAGGGCTGCGTGCGTCATCAATCAAGTACCCACAACATGTGTGTGTGTGTGTGTGTTCATTCTCACACTCTTGCGATAGCGGGGAAGAGGGGGAGGGTGTGGGGGAGGGGGGGCTTGCTAAGGGCCTTGAAAGTGAACCACGGACGGGCGGGCGAGCGAAGCGGATGTCATTCAGCCATCCCAGCCATCCACACACACACCCCCACACACACCCACACGGACACGCACACACACTCGCCACACGACAAACAATCCAATCCACACGTGCACACAGGGCAGCATAGCAAAGCAAGTGAAGCCACACCACACACGGCAGCCAGGAGGGCAACTCAACACGGGGCGGACGCATCCATCGCAATCCATGTCAGTCAGCCGACAAAAATATCTCCAACCAACCATCACATGCATGTGTGTGTGTGTGTGTGTGTGTGGTGCAATCGTCACTGATATGGCTGGCTGGCTGAACGGAACGGTGCCCCCGTCCCCCTCTCTACCAATCCCCATCCATTCAGCCACCCGTCCTTTTGCCTGTCTGTCTGTCTGTCTGTCTGCAGGCCTTATAAGGTGCCCCGCGCGCCTCTGTCTGTCTGTCTGTCTGTCTGTCTGTTGAATTCCCAAATGGATCATGAAATGCGTGGTAATCTTGCCTTGACTTGCTGCGCTGCATGACTGAGTGAGTGAGTGGATCGATGGATGTGTAGATGTGCCTTACGTACGATTGGCCATGGTCACGTGCCCCACACACACGCACACAGACACACACAGCAATCAATCAACGGATGGATGGATGGATAGCTATACAACACACAACGCAACACTCGACAGACACTCGGGGGATAGGACAGGCCGCATGGCCGGCCGCCCGCCGAATTGCATCGCTTCCTTCTTGCTTACACGCCATGCTTACCAACCAACAGACAGCACGTGTGTAGTGCGTGTGGGTGTGGGTGGTGTGTGTGGCTGCCGGTAAATCAGTGCCTTGGTCGGTTGTGTGTGTGTGTGTCTGGTGCTTGTGAGGGGGGTGTGTGTGTGTGGGTGGGTGGGTGGATCAAAAGGAAGCCCTACCTCAGTCGATCTATCGACCAGCCCCGCCCCTCCCTCCCTCCCTCTACAAGTATCCCAACACACACACATACACACACACGCACACGCGCGCACACACAAACAAACAAGTGCTGCATATAAAAGGATCGGACCCTCTTTGTGTGTGTGTATATATGTGTGTGTGTGTAAGTATGCTCCACGCACACATCCATCCACCCACACTTACACGGACGGTTGCAAAAACGATGCAAGTAGGTAGGTAGGATGGAAAGGAGCTTAGCTTCGGTCTCTCTCCCTCATGTATGTATGTATGCGTGTATGGGTGTGTGTCGGCAGGTACTTGCGCATACGGACGGCATCGGTATAAAATCAGAAAACGGGCCAATACGCATGCGCACACCCACCCACCCACCCAACCAACCAACGAACCAACAGGTCACCTCCCTCCCTCCCTCCCTCTCTGTCTGGCTTGTGCGTGTCCAAACACCGCCAGTAAGTAACATATGTGATTCTCCTCCTCACATCATCATCGGTCGGCCTTTAGGGACCCATATATCATCACTCATCTCATTCAGTCACACAACACACCACACCAATCAGTCGATCGATGGATCGAGTCATGTCAGCACAGCAGCAGTAGGCAAGCAGACAGGCAGCTTTCATTCATTGAAAAAATGTCCGTACGCAATGTATGTCTCTCTGTCTGTCTGTGTGGACGCCATGCCATGCCAGGCACACAGCCGACCAAACCAACAGACTCTGCACAGTGCACAGGGAGGCAGTGGATGAGTGCCGTAGAGAATACACACACACCCAGAGGCAGCCACACAGGCAGCCACGCAGGCAGACAGGCCATGGCAAGGCAAGGCAAGGCACGTCACTTGCTGCGCACACACGCTGTATTCCCCACATCCCTCCCACCCACAAATCTCGCAGCCTCGTTCGAACAACCAGCTCACTCTCTCAGCCAGCCAGCCAGCCAGCCAGCCCGCCACCACACGCGCCATTTGCCGTCTGTCCGTCGGCTGCCACCCCTTCCATCCATTCATTGATCCATCTCCACACCCCAGTCGGTGCACCTCTTAGTCAGCTCAGCCACAGTCAGCCCATGTGAGTCTCTGTCACCTCACCGCCCCCCCACCACCCCGCAGAAGCATGCAGGCATCGATCGCCGGTGCAGCCCATTTCGGGGCGGCCGCAGCCCACCGCCGCCCGCTACGCCCACGCCGTCATCGTCATTCTCCCCGTCTGCTCCTGCTGCCGCCGCTGCTGCTGCTGCTGATGCTCCTGGTGAGGCTGGTGGTGGTGGGTACTGCTGGGACTGGGGAGGGCTGGGGGGTTTGTTGGGGTGGTGGTGGTGGTGGGCAGCAGACGTGGCGGTGCGGTAAGCCTTCACGACCTTCTTGCACAGCTTGGCCTGCTGACCGTTCGAGCGCACCCTGCGCAAACACATCAACAACCGTGAGTGACCACACACACGTGTGTGTGGATGAGGGTGTGTGTGCGTGTGCGCACCTGTTGAGCATGACGTTGTATGGCGTGGTGCCCGTCTCGTCTTGTGCGGTGACGTCTGCCCCCCTCGCCAGCAGCTTGTCAGCTATCAGGTACTGGCCGAAGTAAATCGCGTAGATCAACGCCGTGCGACCCCGCTTGTCCTGGTCGACGCGATGCAGGAAGCCACACACACACACAACACAAACCCTTTCTATGTGTCCATCCAGGGGTGTTGTGTTGTTGTGCACTTTCTTTCCCCACCTGTTGGTCAAAATTGAGGTCGACGCCGAATTTGAGCAGCAGGAGAGCCATGAGCTCGTTGCGAGTGCGGATGCAGGCCATCAGCGGCGTCTCGCCCGTCGCGTAGCTCTCACGGTTCACGTCGGCACCGCGGCGCAGCAACACCTCAGCCACACTGTGGCTGAACCAACCACACACACACACACACACAGAGTTCGTGCCATCACTCTGCATGCCTTCCTCCCTGTCTGCACACACACATACCGGTTTTCGAGGCATGCGATGAGTAGCGGGGTCCTCCCTGACGCATCCTGAATGTTGACGTCGGCCTTGGCCACCGCCTTGCCGTCGGGGGTGGTGGTCAGCTCCTCGTGGGCGTTGAGCAGGGCCATCACGCAGTCCATGAAGCCCTCCTCAGTCGCCACGTGCAGCGCCGCAGCACCGTCGAGGCCCTTGCTGTTGGTGCGGGAGCCCTGCTGCAGGAGATATCGCAGGATGTCCACCTTACCCAGCTTGGCCGCCTGATGATCATATCATCGTGACACACAGCACACGCAGAGGTGTGTAGGTGGGGTGTGTTGTGTGCACAGTATGCGGCGGTGTGGGTGTGTCTACTTGGATGTGTGGGAGGCTCCACATGTGGTGGGGCAGGTCGAGCAGGTCTGGGTACTTGGAGGTGAGCAGCTTGACACAGCCCATGTCGGCCTTGAGGATGCCGCACGTCAAGACGTCGGTGAGGATGTACCGCTTCCGCGGCGACGCCCCCGCCCCCGCGTCCAAAAACTTAGGCAGCCAACTCGACGACAACTGATACGCCAGCTGCACACA